GATGAATTGTCTTTGAAATAAGCTGCTGTAAAGCCAGCATTGAACATAAACTACATTTCCAACAATGCATGTTGATTATTTCATCTACAAAATTACAACTTCCCACCACCAGGTGGAGGTGCACAAGGTGGTTCAAAAGTAGCCATCAAAATTAGCTTTGTAAAATCTTCATTTAGCTGCTTTTGTTGCAGCTCAGTTATACTGGGAAGTGGGAAATTCATAAAAAAACTAGCTTGTTGCTAACCACCAAATAGCAACAAACTGAGTCATTTTGAAGCTTTTCGTCTGCTTTCACCTTTCGGCAGCAGACAAAAATGATTTCCTATGGATGGATGGATAATCCTTGCAACTGAAATCAAATAGTCCTGAACTACAGCATCTAAAATTATGTTCTAGAAATAAAAAGTCAGACATTTTTTTAGTTTCCATCAGGGAGCAAATACACTCTGTTCAACCAGCTCAAGACATCATTTATTCCTGGAAAAGTGACATTTATTAAATAACAACTGATCTTTACAATAAAAACAGCGGCACGGTGGCTCAGTTGGTAGAGCTGCTGCCTCTCAGCAAGAAGGTTGCCGGTTCAAATCCCAGCCTGGGGACCTTTCTGGGTAGAGTTTGCATGTTCTCTCCGTGCATGCGTGGGTTCTCTCCGGGTACTCCGGCTTCCTCCCACAGACCAAAAACATGACAGTTAGGTTAATTGATAACGTGTGAATGAGTGAGAGAGTGAATGGTTGTTTGTCTCTATGTGTGGCCCTGTGATGGACTTGGGACCTGTCCAGGGTGTACCCCGCCCCTCAGTGTTACTGCTGGATGTGGGCACCAGTGACCCTGAAAGGAAGACGTGGGTATAAATAATGGATGGATGATCTTTATAATGAGGGATGATAAAGCTCTGTTGAACCTTAAAAGTATCGCAGTCTGTTTGGATGATTGTTTTCACAATCAAATAGGTTGAAGAAATGTAAGCCAAATCCGAAAAAAATGTATTTTATTTGTGAATAAAAAATAAACATCTGATTTTCTTTTATAGAGCACTCTCAGGCCTTTTTCTTAAATCAAAATAAAACACAGAATTGTTCCTAAAACAAATTAAACCCTGTTTGTTCCAAAGTGAGCAAACTTGACAATCTATTGTAGCATTAAACATGAAAAAAAAATAATTCATTAAAAACAATCTGTCCTGCTGAATAACACTGTACTCCTATGTTTTTATCTCTTCTTACATTCAACAACCCTGTTCCTGTAAATAAAGCAGCAGGAATTCTTTTTCCTGTTTACAGCAAAGCCAAATCCTTTATTTTGTTGGMCAAGATGCTGCAACTCAACACTTTGTAGGAAAATCTATAAAAAGTGTAAAAACCAGATATAATGTATCAAATACTAAACAATATGCCTCTTCATTGTGTGGCTTCTTTGTATTAAAAMAAATTATTACAACAACCAAAAAAATTAAAATAAATAAAATAAAATAAAATAATCTAACCTGGATGAAAATTGGCAGTTTAAATTCACATCATTCATGATCTAATTTGATCAGACATGATTTTTCATAACTAAAGCAACACTTTCCTAAAGYCTTAGATCTTTTTAAGATTATTAAAAAGTGATTATTGTATTAAAGTACAATAAGACTGATGTAATGAAATAGCGCTCAAAATGACACAAAAAGAACTAAACTTATTTGTGTATAAACAGGATTTTTCCAAACTACTTAGAAATAATAAAACTATTTACACAGTTTGATTTATGAGGTGCAGCAGCTTTAAACAGCAGACGAGGCACTAATATGATGAAGGCTCAAAGGTAACACTGAACGTCATCATCAGTGGGTTAAAATGATCAACATCTCGTTGGTGAAAACACGACTCGAGATTAAAAAAAAAAAAAGAAGTGTTCTTCACCTTTAAGGTACGGCACCATTGCCATTTGACAAAGGTTCTGCTTCTGTGTTTACCGTCATTGGGCTGAGCTCCGTGACCGGAGCTGCCTCCCCCGGCCGGTTCCTGAAGTGACGGATGAGCACCACGGCAGCACAGATGAAGTACACCACGGTAAGGATTGTCAGGTAGATGAAGTACACCAGGAACTGCAACACCAGAGCAGAGAATTAACAGAGTGAACGACATGTGGAAACTCTACAACATGTGGAAACTCTAGAATGGGGTGTCCAAAGTGTGGCCCGGGGGCCATTTGTGGCCCTTGAACTGATTTTGTGTGGCCCCTGACTTCAGTTCAAGAATTATACTAATTTGCAAATTTGTCCCCCCTGCACAGGTGTTTGATGTAGATGGAGACTTTCTATTTATTATTAGGGCAAATTAATCACAAAGTAAAATCTTATAATAAAAAACATTGGAAACAAGACAAATGAGATTTGTCTTTAAATAACCAGACTCTTAACTTTTTCCACATCTATTTAGTAACTTCTACTCAGAAGATGATTTTGCTGCACTCCAATTTGCTTTTAATTCTTTTATTAAATTTATCTGAATACAGCAAGCATTTTCAACAAGAGTGACCTAAATCCTGATTTTATTGATCAGAATTGACTAAAGTGGATTATTTTTTTTCCCAATTGAAACCTAGAAAATTGCAAAATTTATTTCAATAAGGGAATCCTGCAAAACAATTTTTAAAGTTCTGGATCTAGATTAATTTTCACAACCAATTTTAAGCAATAAATCTGACTACCGTACTTTGTGTTTGTTTAATTAAAGTATTCAATGTTTACTTTATTGTTGGGCAGGTAAAGGARAAATATTTTTTGCCCTCAAGTCCTTCTGACTTTATGATTTTGGCCCATGTGACAAAATGTTTGGACACCCCTGCTCTAGAACATGTGGAAACTCTGGAACATATGGAAACTCTGGAACATGTGGAAACTCTTGAACATGTGGAAACTCTAGAACATGTGGAAACTCTTGAACATGTGGAAACTCTTGAACATGTGGAAACTCTTGAACATGTGGAAACTCTAGAACATGTGGAAACTCTTGAACATGTGGAAACTCTAAATGTAAATGTCCTTGAACCTGTGGAGCCATAGTTGCATTTTCCATCCATGACGTGAGGAAGTTCCACTGTGGACAACTTATTGTGGACTTTCTTATGGATGGACAGACAGGGACAATTCATAGGTTTGACATTTCTGTTACTCTGATTTCAAGCTGGAGCAGAGACAAGGTTTTAACAAAAGGRGTCATCTGTGACCTTTGACCTTTAATTCAACTATCTTTGACCCATGTGGTGTCCACCTGTGCAATTTGACATTTCTGTTAGAGGCCCTCAATCAGGGAGGTAAACCACATGTCTACACTTAGTATAAAAAAGGAAGAAAGAGTTTTGAACTGTCTGGAGTAAAAACTTTACTACTTCAGACAGGAGCAATAATTGAAAGTATGCTCAAAGTATGTGCTGTGGATGACTCTCAGCTACTACCACAACACATTTAAGCTCAGTATCWGTGAAACTGACAGAGTCTGTACGAGTTCAACTAATGATTACATTCTGGGACTTAGAATAAATTMCATCTGATTGTTCATGACACACTTTGCTAACAAAGATAAAAACATTATCACTCTTATATTTGGCAGCAGGCAAAAATCAATTCAACAGCGTTAACAAAACCTTTTAGTAAATTTTCCTTTCAGTTTGTGTTGTGAAGCTAAACAAAAGTTCTTTTTAAAGGTTTTTTCCAGACTTGCTTCTTGCCGAAGATGAATTTCCATTCTACGCAAATTAAATTAACAAGAAAATTATTACTCTGTTCTATTTCAGGTCATTCTCCTTCTAAAGGAGCAACTTTAACAAGCATCACAAGTGTTTCGTTTCTTGTCAGTTTTTTTATTTTTTATTTACCCTTTAACTAATAAAGAACACTTTAAAGATGCTCTGTCAGTAATCCCTAATAGACAGCTAAATAAAGTGCCATCTAAACAGCATAAATCTTGTATTTGATTATTTTTGTGATGCTAAACAGYTGAAAATGGACACATCATCACCTGAGATTGCACATCCAGCCCCAGGCCCCTCTTGTCGGAGAATACCAGGTTGATGATGCTCTTTAGTACTGTTCCCAGGAAGGTGTTGATGCCAAACACCAGAGCACACAGCTCCTTTGTGAGCGACGAGGCAATCTGGAAACTGAGAGGGTGAGAAYGTTTAACATTCTGAGCACTGCGCTCCAGATTCAGCTGTGTCAACAACACCCTTATTTTTACTGCTGCAGTCCATTTACACTTTGATTTTAAACATTTTGGGCATCACCAGCTAAGTTCTACTTCATTACAGCACTGTCTTTGGGACTTACGTGGCGATTGGCACCAGGAACTGGTAGAAACCTCTGAAGAGGATGTAAGAAGCATAACAGACCCAAATGTTGCCCGTGTTTCCCATGAGGAGCAGCAGGCCCGCCTGCAACGCTGTGATAATACCGATAACGAGCTCGGACAAGAGGTTCCAGCGAATCTTGGCGAAGCCTGCCGCAAAGGAAGTTCCTGCACCTGTAGAAAAAAAATATTACGAGTTACCCTCAGACATCGGAAACACAAAATGAACGGGACAGCCACAGATATAAAACTATTTTACATAACTGTTGTACATAAAGTTGTTTCTGATCATCTTTATGCCATTATTAAACTACATGTTTACTAATAACTGAATATTTTATCAACAATGTATATTGGATAAACTTATTGGAAATTAGCATATTTTAATCTTTGCAACATTAACCGTCTCCGTCCTTCACTCACTCCCCGCTCCACTGGCATCCTTGTACACAGCCTAGTAACGTCCAGGATCGACTACTGCAACTCCCTATTAGGGRTGCACAATATATCGGTATTGATATCTGTATCGGCCGATATTGGTAATGTTTTAAAATATCATATAAGTCCGATATGTAAAACTGGGCCGATATTAACGTCCGATATTGATTTCCCAATTTTTTATCTTTGTGTTTCTGTTTTGGGAGGGGASATGGTTGGTTGAGCAGCATCTGTTTGATCATGATAGTGATACTGATGCTGTGCAGCCAGGAATAACTGAAGTAGTCATGTCAGAGGTCTGGTTGTTTATTTACAGTATCAAAAAAAGACCCAAGTGTGTTTGTGTGTATATGTATAATATAATTAATTTGTTTGTGTAGTTTTGGTAAATATCAGTTATTGGCCATAACAGCAATAATTATATTGGATATCGGTATTGACTGAAATTTTTATAATCGGTGCATCCCTTACTCCCCACTGTTTGGCCTCCCCAATAAATCCGTTCACAAACTACAGATGGTTCAGAACTCAGCAGCACATGAAATCACTCAAACCTTATCCTCTGCCCACATCACTCCAGTCCTACAACAGCTCCACTGGCTCCCAGTTAAATCCCGCATCATCTTCAAAATCCTCCTGCACACTTTCTAAGATATCCACAATCTTTCCCCTCCTTACCTAACTGACCTCCTAAACATCTCCACACCCTCCCACTCTCCAAGATCTGCCCCCTCACTTCAACTCTCAGTACCCCCTGCCTGCCTCAGCACCATGGGGAGCAGAGCTTTCAGCCCCTCTGCACCGCAGCTCTGGAACTCACTACCCCCATGGATTACGTAACACCACCTCTCTCCCTGTTTAAGACTGGGCTGAGGACACATCCAGATTAGCTCATCACTGTTAACTCTGCTAATTGAGTGGTCATTGTTCTTTCATATTTGACTGTTTTGTACTCCTCATTTCTATGTTTCTTCCGCACAACCCTATTGATCAATGTATCTACTTCATTGTACTTTAATACGACTGTTTTGTACTCATTTGTTTCTCACGCACAACCCTATTGTTCAATGTATCTACATTTGTTTGTTGCTATTGTACAGTGTCCTTGGGTGTCCTGAAAGGCGCTTTATAAATAAAATGTATTATTAGCTTATCACTGTTAACTCTTATTGGTTGGTCACTGTACTTTGTATGTCTGTTTTGTATACTCTTCATTTGTTTCTCCCACACAACTCTATTNCCCATTGTCCAGTGTTGGGAAGAATTCCATTAAGTTATTATGTTGACATATTGGGCACAAACTAACTCAAACTACCGACTTAGTCTCCTTAGCTAATTGTTTTTTTGTATGTTATGTCTCTCACTAATGTATGTTAAGTTTTTGTGATGATTCGTACACACATTTGCATCTTAATCATCTCCACATGTAAACCAAAAATGAGACTATACAAAGAATTTCAGAATTCTAAAATTATAGAACTAATTTCTCTGCTCTATCCCCACCAGTTACAAACGATTTATTCCGGAGTCTCTGAACTCAGAAATTAGGCAGCGCAACATTCTCACACGCATCCGTATCAACAACGTGTTCAAGAAATTCCTCAGYGAATTCAATGACAACACTGTCAAGAAGAGCCAAATCAGATGCTATGACCTGAAGATCAAGTACTTGGCCACATTGGAGGGGTTGACCAGCACCTTCGGCAATGAGCTCTTTGAACCAGAGACGCTCAGTGTGTTCCAAGAAGAGGAACTCTGCAATGGTAAGAATTGGGATGACGTGGGGATATTTAATAGTTTGTTGTTTGTTCCCACTGCCGGGTGGTTGCACTGTCCGTATGTCATCACATCACTGAGCTGCAAAGCAGACTAACTTTTCACATGTCGATTGTTTTGGTTCTRTTTGTACCTTGCTTTGCTGCGTAAAGGTGCATCTGAGGTAGACYGGCTTTGACCTCTCCTTGCCGCCTTGATTTGTTTAGAAATCWCGTCCACATGGTCAGTAAGTGCCTAAAGTGCTCAGTATGGTCGAACGKCAGCCGACCTGATGACGCGCAGTCATGAGGTTGTTCGGCATTTGTTTTCACACACGCTTCTGATATAGCAAGTAGTTTAGCAAGTAGTTTTTTTGTTTGCCTTTTTTTTTTTGTTTTTTGTTGAAGCAAAGTGCAGAATCTGAGCAATTTCAGCATAAACAAACACTCCCACAAACTTCTTGTCTAACAGATCGCAATGTGTGCTGGTGGAAGTTCTTTCTTCCTCTTGTCTTCAAATATTCAAGGGTGTGTTCCTCAAGGCTCTATCCTAGGTCCACTTCTTTATATAATCTACATTAACAGTTTAGATAACAGTGTTATCTAAAATGCCAACAATGCGAACAGAATGACAAGATGTTCATCGTGGAACTGAAACAATTCGATCTGATTTCGGTTGGAGCATACTGGGCACTTTTGTCCCGGACTGAGGTGTCCTGCGAATGCTATATAGTCATTTTTTTACATTCATTCGGGACATTCTTTTTTTTTCCTTTTTATTGTACAGTGTCCTTGGGTGTCCTGAAAGGTGCTTTATAAATAAAATGTATTATTATTATTATTAATAAATAAAAACTGTCAGATTAATAAAAACAAAAAAACGTAGTTGCCTTTTTAGCTAACACATGAGCAAGCTATTTAACCTCTTTTTAACTTATATTGTTTTGATCTACACTTTTTATTGACTACATGCAATGGTATTTATTTGTACTAAAGCTGGGCAATGTCTGCTTAAAAATGTATTTGGATACAAATGTTTTATATCAGTTCATATTGCTAATTACTGATTTTTTTTTATCTATTAGAAATAAGGATCAGGAGAAAAAAGGCTGATTAATTCTGCCAAACTGGTGATATGACCCTTCCTTTTTTATCCATAATTTCCTCTTGACCTGTTGCCTTATTTTCACTCCACGTTGTTCTTTTTTATTTTGAAGCAGCTCTGAGTCACGGTGGTGAAACATGAAACTGCTTCTGTGCATGTTACCCAGCAGGTTGTTGTTAGCTTACTGAAGAGTAAGCTAAGTTGGGTGATGCCACCCAGCTTGCTCAGCTGGGACATTAGGAGGTTGAACAGCTAAAAATTTTCCTCTGCCCACATCCCCCAGAATGCCATGGCTCTCTGGATCAGAGTTCAGCGAAATGATCAACATTTTATCAAACATATGTTTTATCAATATCACAGTATGTATTGTTTATGCTTTATTTCCCAGCCCTATATTGTCCATTTAACAGAACTCAGCCTGTGCACTATCAAAAAACTACTGAAGCACTATTACTAGAAGCACTATTACTAGAAGTTCCTTCAATATCAGTCACCTAATCTCAGGTTTAGTTTTGTAATGACACTTTTACTGCTCCCAGGTCATGTCCAAGTTAATCAATCTACAGCCGTGGAACTGTTTAAAGTCCAATATTTGATATCATACAAACAGGTGACAAATCTTTTTTTTTTCCATATTTAAGATGGTTTTAGCACCTTGGTCATGTCCTTGACTTAACAGTTGTTCTTTAAGGTGGAATCTTACGGAGCTCTGGTGGTTGGGAGACTAGTTCGACTCAAAATTGTGGATAAAACGAGTAGACCATCAAACTGTGTGTCCAAATTAAAACAAATAAAATAAATTCACAGCTTGTAAAAACCACATTGTTGGCTGTGTACATTATTTTGTTGCCCACTTTGGCTCTTTTTGTTCCCACATCAGCAGCCACACACACACACTTCACATTTAATCTGTGCTGGTAAAATGAATCAATGAGGACTTTTTCAAGATTTGACCGTCTTACAAGCTTCATAATATGTACTTTGTTGAAATATGGCAACAAAGCACCTGGCTAGCAACAAGTTATTTTTGTTTAGAACAGCACCAGTTTGAAAACTCGATTTATGTTGATTTTAGAAAAAACTGGGGCGTCCCAAACCTGGTCCTCGAGGGCCACTATCCTGGATGCTTAAGGTTTCTCTGCTTCAACACACCTGATTTAAAGTAGACATATCATGCTTTTAAATCCTTCCTTTTCATATTTAAGGCATTCAGTTGGGTCTCTATAAAGTGGAACTGCAATGCTTTGGTCTGAATTCCTTCTTATTCTAACTTTATCAGCCCCTCTTTCACCACTTTTCTGAGGTGTGCCTCAAAGAAGCTGGATTTGTTACTGTTCCTTTAAGACGCTTCAAGCCCCGCCCCCCTCCGGCTTCTAGACCGGTCCACTCCGGTTTGGGGGGAGGTTATGTTTTCTAGCTTGCAGAAATATTTTATTTAATTAGATGTCAGCAACAGAAAACTTGTCCATCCAGCCTCACATGTTGGAACCAGAGTCTGACTCAGAACGAGAGGAGAATGAAGACAAGGAAATTGAGGTTGATAAGTCCAGACCTTATTTAGCAATTTCCTCGCAGATTATTTGATGTAATAGACTCTGAAAAAGTCATATAAAATTGAGAAAACTGAAGAGGTTGAAAAATATGACCCTAACAAAATATAAAAGGTATCTTTGCAGTAGGGTTGGGCATAATCGTATCATGTGCAATTAATCGTCAGAAAAACATTAATCGATTAATTTTTGGCACTTGACGATTAAAACGATTAATACCACCAGGCAGACTAACTGCTTGGTGCTCCTCTCCCCTTCAAACATGATGAACATTAAAAAAAAAGTTCTGTAATTTATTTATCTATCAACACAATTTAAAGTTTGATGTGTAGCCTGAAGTCTGTAATTTTGACACAATTTGGAACAGATTTTTACGAAGAGCCAATTTTCTCCCAWTAAATTGGTCATGTGACTAGGATATAAGGGTTTTTCCAGGGACTCTGGGGGATTAATCTTCAAATTAATCGTTATTGGCTAAATACAACATATTAATCGTGATTAATTTTTTTGCCAATATTGCCCAACCCTACTTTGCAGCACCAGGAGAGAATAAATTCAACGTTTCTGCCTCTTGGAGACAAAATTTCTTTACCAGCTAAAAAAGTGGATTTTGCATAAGACCCCTTTAAATGAATGGATGATCAACATCATCTGCAGAACTTGAAGAGGTAGTTCAATCACTGAATCAGGTGTGCTGAAGCAGAGAAACAAGTGAAACATGCAGGACCAAGGACCAGGACTGAACTCCTCTGGTCTAACCATGTTTATAAAAAGGAAATCCTCAAGCTTCATAACGCCAAACATTATAAGAAGGAATTTCCAAATGTTGCAGCAGCAAACTTCAGAGAAATAAGGTCAATTTCAAAGAAATTTGAATTAGAACGTCTATTTCTGAAAAAAGAAAAACTGTTAGAAAACTTTGGTTTTATAAAAACCTTAATTTTAAACAGTACAATTTTTAAGTTTTTCTGCATTGCTGCCTATTATTCATTCTTGGAATGAGTAAACATTTAAACTGCTGCCCTTGTGAGAATTCGATGCACTTAGTTGGCTTTTGTTGCGTTACTCCTCATCAGGCGCAGCTGTTAAATGTGGGATCTCCAGTTTWTCATTCATCTTACAAAAATCTGCTGAAACCCGTCTGTTAGTGTAAAGACCCTGATATTTGTCTCCCAACTTGAGATGCCTACCTTACACTGAATTACAGCTCAGTAGGGAAGCYGCTCAGTAAATTAACGAGGACTCTGCTTTAGCAGCCGTAGCATCACAGCAGTGACTACAGAGGAGTTCTGCTTGGGTTAGTTAGATTCAAATTAACCGATTTCTGCGCTCGTGTTTTAGGTTGTTCCAAATTTACAGGCAAACTTGTCATGCTCATAAAAGCCATCTAAGCTAATGCCACTAAACTGAGCATAAATCAGATTTTCTGAGATCTAATATTAAGAGGAAAGTCTCACTCAGTAACATCGCAGCAGCCTCCACGCCCCCGTTGTAAACYGGCTTGTCTTTGTTCTCTTCGTTGACTTTGTTCCACAGGATGTGGACGTAGAACAGGACCAGGTAGTAGCCCGTGGAGTTGAACACCCACCACAGGCACCAGAGCCTCAGGTTGGGCTTCTTCACCACATTTTTCAACTCCAGCAGCATCTGAACGAAAACAGAATCCTTCCAGCGCAGCGCTGAGGCCAACGATTTCTTCTCCGGGTTGACTTTGTCCACCTCAGGCTGAGCCACTGCCATCAGCTCCCTCTGTTCCGGGTTCTTCTCCCGGTTGAAAAACAAGGAGCGTTTGGGCCAGGGCAGGCACAGCGCGAGCAGCAACCCAAAGCTCACGAAACCCAAAGAGATGGCATCGAGGGTGTAATAGGTGATGTTGCCCAGAGACAAGCACAGCTGGCCCAGAACAGAGCTGGTGAAAACTCCCAACAGAACCGAGGAGCGGGAGTAGCCCGCCACACGCTGGTACATGACCGGGTTGACCAGTGAGAAGATGTAGGAGGAGTAGGCCACGCGGCAGGCCATGGTGATGCCGTAGAAGAACTCCATGAGCTGCATCTGAAGCAGCGAGGTGCCCAGCAGCATGAAGATCCAGATCACCACCTGACAAATGCCCTGGATGATCAGAATGGGCTTATAGCGCAGGAAATCTGTTAGCAGRAAGGTCGGCACCAGCACTGCCATGTAGGAGTACGTCAGCACTGGAGTGATCTCATTGGTCACCTGGAAACATCGAAGAAACACATCAATACTGATACGATTTTGTGCACTGAACCCATAACTCTCAACTAAAATGCCTATAAAACAAATTATACAAGCTATGGGTTACTATCACAGAAAAAAAGAATTTAGCTATATAGTAAAGACAAACTGCAAAAATATTTGTGAATAATTATATAAAAACAGAAGAGGATAAAAGGGATCCCCGATT